CCTTATATTTCAAGACACGCTTTTCGGCAACGAGGGCGTAAACAAGCACAAAACAACCTGGTGCTTCGAGTACTTCGCCTGGAGAACAAAAATGTACACTCGGTGACTCGGAACGAACGTGAAAGAAATATCAGAAGATCGTTCAGCGAAGTTTCTAATTTAAAACAAATATCCTCCATTTACGACACTCGCGTGGCTATGAGGGATCTTTGAATTCTGCTACACCTTGTTTCGAATAAAATTGCAAGCTTGGGAGTAGCATTACCAGCATTGCAATGCAGAACCATCATCGGAGTAATCTCTGAAAATTATTTGCAGTCGCTCCGGAGACACCTTGTACAAAGAACACGCGTGTTTGTGTGGATTTACATTCTTTCGTTTGCGGATACACGCCCTTTGTTCCGCGCTGTTTCGCGTTGAAGATTGGACCGAGTGTAGCCTTATTTCCTCAAGTCGGGTTTATAAGACATAAGATATAAGAGTGGCGAGAGGTTGGCTTTCAACGGGATCAGAATTATTAAGCTCAGTCGCGGAATATGAAACACTTTTCACCCTGGCAGACAACCCTCGCCTCGACTCGTCTCGGCCTTCCAAAAATCCCGCGACCACGGTTAGATTAAACTCGACATCGCGTATACTTCGCTGAACACGTTATTTGTTTTATTCGCCATCGTCACTCGAGTCTTGTGGTAAAATAAAGTGGTCACAAAATTTAAGTAATAACGACGAATTAAATAAATAACTATGAAACCTGGAATTTCCTATATTCCATGCTTATGATGACTAAAATACATTGGACTGTTCTGAAAAGTAGGGATTTTTGGCTGTGAGGGTTGAGCTTCTGAGAACCTAGAAGCCTAGTGGACACAAAATTTAGGTAATAACGACGAATTAAATGGATGACGATGAAATCTCGAATTTCCTACGTTCTATGCTTCTGATGATCTAAAATACATTGCACTGTTCTCAACAGTGGGGAATTTTGGCTGTGAGGATTGAGCTTCTGAGGACCTAGAACCCTAGTGGTCACAAAATTTAGGTAATAACGACGAAACCTCAAATTTCCTATATCTAAGCTTCTGATGATCTAAAATACATTAGACTGTTCTCAAAAATAGAGCTTCTTGGCTGCGAGGATTGTGCTTCTGAAGACCTCCAACCCTAGTGATCAAAAAATTTAGGTAATAACAGAATTCAATTAATTTAGGTAAGGTAACCATTTCAGCTGTGAGGATTGAGGACCTAGAACCCTAACTTTAAAATCCCCTGTACGAATACTTTGAATTAAAGTATTCGAGCCAATTTGTGAGGAAAAAATCGGATTCTCTGTTTGGTCCATTAGCAGCATAGGCTAACCAGTGTCAAATAGGAGCTTCGATAATAATAGCGAAGATAAAGTAAAAATAAAAAGACTCGGATGGAAGCCAAGGATTCCACGAAATTCTTGAACAGAATCACTAATATTCCATCGATATTCGAGGCAGAAAAGGGCTTCTGCCATAGACCTCAGAGACCCTAAACGATATTTCGTAAGGAGCAAGTCTCGGAGAGAGAAAAAATCGAATAGCTTTCAAGTAGAGATCCTTTGTTCGACCACTGATCGATCGTAAGGTCAGGTTAACCAGCGACTAATAGAGACTTTGACTAATTATCCGCGGCTGAAGGCTCGGCGCCCTTATTGACAAGCGAGCCAAGCTCCGTCTGCTCTAATCCCCGAGCTTTCTTCGTCCGTTCTCCGCTTTCGCTTTCCGCTTGACGCGCTCTGCACACGCTTGCACGGACCCCGACCGACACCCTCTCCATCTCGTCTCTGTTCACTGCAATACCGTGTCAATAATTAACGGCCGGCTGACTCGACAAGCAGGCCCAGGTCTGGTGCAACAGAGACTCACGACACGTTCGCGAACATCAGGCAGGAGAGTGGTAAAGCGTTCGACGTGATAGCCAGGGCTGCCAAATCCTTCGATTGGCTGGCCTGATCGACCCGTGGGATCAACGTGCCTCGTAGACGAGCAACGGGTGTCATGGATTTTCCATTAACCCTTAGCACCGGAACACGCGGATCAATCAGTGATTTAATCTCGGGGATGAAGTTTATAATGTGTAAGCAGGACGAAGCAAGGTGAGAGATTGTGCGGGGGTTGATCAGCTTGAGGGATTTTCAGACACGTGGTCGTTGCGAAGACGGATTTCGCGATCGGTTTGTGACTTAGTTTCAGTCATGAAATTGATTGGGCGTGGGTAGGGTAGGTAAGTAGCGTGGCTGGGTTTGCATTTGGCTAAGTAGTGTCATGGTTGATGCGGTGACCCAAGTACTCTGATAGGAAATTAGGGTACTACTAGGATCCAACAATTTCTTGCAACCTCTGTCTTTAAATCCTAATTTTCTAGAATTTATTTCTTCTTAAAAAGAAGACGATGGAGGAATCGTGTCGCAATTATCAGAGTGCTCGTTGTTTAAGGGAAGTACCTTGCGAGGAACACCTTTGCCACGTGATTGGGAAACAAACCACTCCATGCAAAACTAGCTACCGAATCTTCCACACAATTTCCCCAGACACGATGCTCCTTTCTCGTCACCGAAACTCGAAAATTCGTCACGTACCCTGGCGTGAAAATCGAACGGTCCACAAGGGAGGCAAAGAGACGCGTAAAAAAAGGGGGATAAAAATTGAGAGAGAAAGAGAGAAGGATCTGAAATAGACAGAACGAGTCTCTCGCGAATACAATGGGCCGTCGAGCGCGTTTCCAGTCCGTGCGAAACGTAGCCAGGGATGGAATGCACGGAAAACGTGGAAACGGGGCGAGAGGGTGAGAAAACAGGGGAAAAAAGAAAAATATGGTTTCTGACACCCCGGCAGTGTTTCCCACGCCGCGGAAATTAAATTAATCGGACGACTGACCGCGCGCGCCGGCCAGAAAGGAATAAAAAATAAAAACAGCGGGAACGAACAAAGGCCGTTTTCATCGCGCGACGAAACGATCCACGCCGGCTGAACGATGCTAATCCGGTGCATCGTTCCCTAATCCGTTTTAAAAAATCAAAAACTGCCGACCATCTGCCGCGATAACTGCACGGTGAAATGGAATCGAGAGAACCGCGGTCTGGATTACAGCAGAGGCAAGCTCGGTTCCAGGAGAGCTGCCACCATTTCCACTGCCAATAGACGAACGTTTGATCGTGATGGAGCAGCCGGTTTTCGAGTGTTTATTGCTTGTTTTTGGTACGCTGGTTTTGGTACACCTAGCATTCGCAATATTTTCACATTTTGGGCTATTAGTCCTCGTGTTATGGCTAGGGATGACTCGTCGAGAGAATCGGATTCTGAATGCTTCTCTTGACATAGGTTAGGCAGACCTCGAGGCTATCTAGACTCTAGTTTCGTAATCATTGTCAGCCAATCAGATGACTACTTGGATAAAAACTGTCTCGATTTCTTAATATCAATATATGCACTCTTACAACATCCTGTCATGTAATTCATCATTTTCCTGTCAGGATCTTTAAGTTTCAGGTAGATCTTGTCACTGAGATATCAAACCTGCCAGGTATCGAAGTTAATGATTAATCTAATTGCAAGTTACTGATGATCATGTCGTAACTGACTGAATTTCTGAGGTCTGTGACAAGATCAAAGAACAAAGTCTATATTTTATTAAACTATATCATCAGACTGATCTCGTCCTTAAGGGCTACTTAATGGAAGATAGACACGTTTGCTAGATACGCTCAAGACTGTTCCAAGATCTCATCAAGTAGTATTCGTAAATATTTAAAGCTATTCCTCATGCTCTTGGCAAAGAACGATTAGAAAATCCTTGACCATCTGGATTCTGTCAAAACCAACCATGTGTCAGGTAGACCTTGTCACTGAGATATAAAACCTGCTAGGTATCGAAGTTAATGATTAATCTAATTGCAAGACCATGTCATAACTGACTGAATTTCTGAGGTCTGTGAGAAAATCAAAGAACAAAGTCTGTATCATCAGACTGATCTCATCTTTAATGGCTACTTAATGGAAGATAGACACGTCTGCTAGACACTCTCAAGACTGTGAGTGTATTCGTAAGTATTCGACGCTATTTCTCCTACTCTTGGCAAAGAACGATCAGAAAACCCCTGACCATCTGGATTCTGTCAAAAGCAACCAGACCAGACCCAACGGAGCACGGTTCAGAGCTCTTGGTCTGCCAGTTTGTTCCAGAGCACATAACGCCACGATAACCGCGTCATTTTCATCGTCCTCGAAACTTCCGGTCTCCTAGAGGCAAAACTACGATAGAACCGGTGCTGGAGACGGCGATCCGCTCCTTGCAAGAGTTCCTTGGCGAAATCGACTGGAAGGTTCGGGTTTAATAACACGAACGGCCAGTGGAATCGACTCACTGCGATCGATACGTCCATTTCCGATCGACGCTTGAAAAGATATCCGGCTGTAATAGTTTCAGTTTGACGGGGCCCCAGTGTCGATAGCCGCGAGTCGAGCAGCGGATTCCGATCGACTCGATGCACGAGTCGATATTTTAATATTCAACGGTCACCCATTCTCCACCCTGTGCACCTCTAAACGGCCGAGGGAAAAAGGGCAGCCCTCGAACGACAGAGGAGGTTTTTGACACTTCGATATTCTATCCCCGAACCGAATTTCCTTCGAAACCCCTTGTTCAAAGCGACAGAGGGCCTCCGGGGCACGAATTAGGTTTGAAAGTCAAAGTTACGCCACTTTGACTAGCGTTTTCACGCGGAATTTCGCGACGAATATTCTCTATCCAACCTCTATCACGTCGTCAAAGGGTTAATCACGACAGAATACGCTGTAATAAATAAATAACAGTCACCTAAGTCATGCGAGGCTGCGCGTAATTGAAGCAAGAGCGTTAGTAGTATAAAACGGTGCTTTGTCAGACGTGTGTTAGTCATTGATCTTTCGGTATTATTTACAAATTACTGCTTGTAACATATTATTTATTTTTGCTTAATTCATAATTCTCAGTTCTCAGTACTGAGTCCTGAATTCTAAGTTCTGAATTCTGAGTTCTGAGTCTTCAGTCCTAAATTCTGAGCCTTGAATTCTGAATTCTAAACCTTGAGTCCTCAATTCTGGGTTCTGAATTCTGAGTTCTGAGTCTTCAGTCCTAAATTCTGAGCCTTGAATCCTGAATTCTGAGTCTTGAGTCCTGAATTCTAAACCTTGAGTCCTCAATTCTAAGCCTTGAGTCCTGAATTCTGGGTTCTGAATTCTGAGTTCTGAGTCTTCAGTTTTAAATTCTGAGCCTTGAATCCTGAATTCTGAGTTCTAAGTTCTGAGTCTTGAGTCCTGAATTCTAAACCTTGAGTCCTCAATTCTAAGCCTTGAGTCCTGAATTCTGAGTTCTGTGTTCTGAGTTCTGAATTCTGAGTTCTGAGTCTTGAGTCCTGAGTCCTGAATTCTGTGTTCTGAGTTCTGAATTCTGAGTTCTGTGTTCTGAGTTCTGAATTCTGAGTTCTGTGTTCTGAGTTCTGAATTCTGAGTTCTGAGTCTTGAGTCCTGAGTCCTGAGTTCTGTGTTCTGAGTTCTGAATTCTGAGTTCTGAGTTCTGAGTTCTGAGTTCTGAGTTCTCAGGTGAGTTATTATTTGTTAGTTGCAGGTACTTAAACATTATATGGTAGTTACTGCGTGCTAGATATTGGTTATAATATTAGGTCACCTGATCAGAGATTTGAGTACTGAATACCTCCACGTAAATTCTAAAATAATTCCACTGAATATTCCCCTATTTAAAATCCACATACTTTAAGTTCCCCACATTTTTATCGCGAAAGGAGCGCGGCAAAGAAAAGGGATTACGCGAGCATAAATAAAATTTCTAAAAGAGACCTCTACAGTGATAGAACAGTAAGATTAACGAAACGACACGCGCATAAATCGTGTCCCAGCCATTTTTATAACAAAAAAGGACCGGGACATAATGCTGCGCCATAAAAAAGGCGAGCATCCGGTGTACGGCCATTCTTCATGACGTCTGGACATTTCGCTGGCCGTGTTCGAGCCAATCGATCTCCACGATAGCAAATCAACGTCCAGCACGACTATCGAATAACAATTTCGTCAACCCGAGCCTCGAGCATAATTCGTAAACCATTAACGACTCGAGAATCGCTATTTCTCCCGAGTTCGTGGATGAAAATCCCGAGACATCCTGTTCTGACTGACGATAGTGCACTTCCGTCTAAGCCCGAATGAGATCTTGGAGATTTTTCAGAATTTAATCACGAAATCTCTCTATTATTTTTACGCATTCGATGCACTTTGAAGAACGGAAGTATTCGCGAGTTTTCTTCATTATCCTATCCAACATGGACGATGAGGAATTTAGAACTGTAATTAGAAGTTGGATGATTAGGACTTCTAGGAGAAAGATTGCTCTTTCGACATCCTTTACTTAGATCCTATCTTTCTAAAATGGCTCTTATCAAGAAAATTGATGACAATTTTAATTATTCGAAGGCGTTTATTTAACAAAATTCTTCAGACAAGACACGTTTCTTGATATATTCTTCGACACGTCTGTCCAAATAGAAATACATGCAATTGGCTGAACAGAAGTACACTTAGACCAGGTCTTGAGAAAAGTAAGTATGGAAGAATCTAGATATTTCTGCACAATTAAATTTTTCCTATTCTCTGAGGATTTTCCCTATTGTCTCGTGGAACTTTGAATTACAAAGGTCTCTCTTTGTCTCATTTCCTCGAAACGCAATTTTTATCCCAACGACTGCGACACCTTGCCCAGTGACACCTAGTTTTAATTAATATTCAGCTAGTTTTAGAATTATCTAGGCAAAACTAGTATATCGATTAATTAATTTCTGGTCTGACTGTAATAGTGAAACACTCGATGGATCGTTCGTGTAAGCAGCCACTTGTCCCATTCTACTCTGTTTAACCCCAATCTTCGGCCTTAATTTGGACAGCGTTGGTCCAAATTCCCGAGTCTCATCTCCGAGATAAATCAGCCACGGGAAGCAGAAGATTCGAATTGAAATCGCGTTAGCGGGGAATTTTTCTGCCGGGCTATGCCTGCTGGCCGGCCCTAAATTATTCCACGCTGCGGCCATAAAGCCTGGATGACCTGTAATGGGAGCAGAAGGCACACGGGCCAATCGATACCGTTCGAACACGGCAAAGGGGAAAAAGATCGAAAACGTCGCGCGATTACATCTGCCTGCGACCAGGGAATTCCGCGATTTACGAACGCCCAGACCGGAAACGCGCTAATGCTTCCGCGTGGGGCGCTGGCGTCGGTGCTCGCCTGTCCAGGCGATATTTTTGCGAAAGTCCGATGCTTCCGTCGTAAAACCGGATATACGATCGACGTCATGGCAGTCGTCGTTAAAGATCGGAACGACCTGTGAAGTACGCTTTCTCACCTTGTATACGGAGCCTGTGTGAAAGCGAGGACGTCAGGTGGCTTCATTCTAAGAGGTATTTATAAGATTTATGACGGTGTGTTTATTGGAACGCGATAACGTAGGAAGATTGAATGATCCGAGATGGTTCTTGGATATTTGATTTTCCTTTCGGGAATTGGAATACACTCGAACACGGAAAAATATTCAAACCGTCACATTTACTATGTTAACCACGTTAACCAGAAATATATACGTTAAACTGTAACGTTTACATAGTATAAATATAGTATACATGCAGATATGATAGTAAAAATACACAATAATTCAACGACGTACACGATATTCGTATTTATTGGAGTTACCGACCGTGGTGGCGCTAGTGAGTTAAATGGAAGATTGCCTTAACGATGTCATAAGCAACAAACAGTGGATTCTCGCCATATTGAATCTTCTTATTTTGTGATTAACCATGTTAATTTTACTAATTTAATCTTGAAGAGTCCTTCTTGCTATACACAGCGTTATTATTCCAAATATTTCGGTTTAACACGTATATATCACTTTCTAGAAATAGGATATGTAAACATCCGAATATTTTCGGTAAGAAGGGTCTTTCTTAAGATTTTGGCAAACATTGCACAAAGAAATGAGAATCGTGTCGTGACTCATGTTTCCATCGACATGCCAGATCAATATTCCCGTCGAATAATTATCAGGGATTGTGCTTGAACGGCGCCAAAAATTCGAGCCCAGTGAATGTTTAATTCATCGAGGAAGATGTTTGGGACACGTACAAACAAAGAAGAATGCAGAACACCTTTCCACATCCATAAAGAATGATGCTAAACGCTCGATAGCAGAAGCCTGGCGTGAAAAACACGCTCTCGTAGCGATTTGTTAACTAAAAAGGAACCGCATGGGCGTAAACTCTGCTCCTCATTTGGTGAAAATTGAAAACCTTTGAAAAGGCAGGTAGGATGTTAACGCGACACTCTTCTGAGCGAACAGAAGGAATACTTTATGCGAGAATGTTAAGTAACAATCTGGTAAGGTCCACCTTTTCATCGCGGCCAGCTCTTCTACGGCCAGTCCATTGCAATTTCTGTCAAAAATTCTCTCTTCCCGTCACCCTGTCTACATTCTCCCGATTAGGACACGCCTCAAATTATTCACGACTAGCTATCTTCCACTCCACGTTTCAAAACTCGCATATTCCTTTTAAAATCTCGGGAATTTGCAGACGAGTCTGGGAAGAGCAAGTGTCGTGATCCCGGATTCATAGCTTCATAGCGCGTTAACAGATCTCGTTGTGTATAGATTTCGGTGCCATTCGTCGAGAAATAGCAGATTCGTCGAGATCGCGAAACGCTTGGTATGTAGAACCTGTAAAGAGCTCTTCTAAAGACTCGCGATTCTCGATTTACGTCCTCGGTTTTACGACTCGTCGCGAATTTATTGCACTCGCGTCGATTCACAGTGGAACTGATTAAAGCACGAGATTCCGAAACGAGGAGATTGCAGAGAATTTGCGAGCAGGCTATTAGTGTGCGATGAATTCGTCAATTTTCCTGATTAAATATGCAACGGTAAATTTCAACAAATTGTATATCGATTTCAGCTATTACGAGACTTAAAAAGGTACAGTTTAAATCATACTTCAACCACACTCTACATTAACACTTAATTAGAAGCATACTTTAGCAGAGTATCCATTGCCTTCGTGGAAAGCATCCCTCGAGAAAGGAACAAATCCTCCAAAATACTCCGGATAATAAAGTAAAATTTTGTGCAATATAAAGTAAAATATGTACCACGAAAACAATTAAATAAACAGGTCCACATATTTTGTGTACGTGAATAGACACACTATCGTCCCTAATTCTTGCTACGACCTAGCCTGAGCCACAACTCGTAGCCCCAATGGAATCGAGGGCAAAGGACCAACTCCGGAGACAACTATGACGACAGTAAGTCATAGTGATTCCTCTGAGCGAGGATATCTCGGTGTGACTAGGCGCGTGCATACCGGATATACCGCAAGACTAGTCTAAAGAGATAATATTGCCTGCCGCTAGCGAAATATTGGCGGTGGGCCAAATGGAAATAGATAAAAAGCCCGAAGGGTGGTAGAATCATCCCTCTACCTCTCTCTACCCTTCATCCTTTACCAAACGGACAGATATACATTCGTATCCGTACACACAAGGATATGGGATACACCACATCCCATGTGCAGCCGCACATAACGCCAAAGTATGTGACGGCATGCACCACGGCCTTTTCCAATGCCAAATTCTATCCGTATACCATAGAACTGTATGTACCATCACGGGCTCGATGTTTGCTTTTATGAGACAGCTATCGATTGGAGGGCTCCTCGTATTAATTTGTACCCCGTTTCATATGGTTCGATAACGAGCATACGTGTTATCTTGGCAGAGTTATTAACGACGACATCATTATTTTTATGTGCGGTTTGCAAATATCCCCTGAAAGTTCTCCACATAATTTTCACACGAACGATGCATGAAAGCATAAATTCCAAGTTCTCCTATTACGCATGAATTATTGAACGGCCAGTTGCGCCACGGTTTTGAATCTTCCTCGGTCTCGTCCGAAAGTTTCACGTTATTTCATTGAGATATACGATAAACGAGATAATGCGAGCATGATAGCGTAGTACGTGAAAATCTAGTGTATGCATTTCATTTTAGATATAAAAGTAACTATACGACAACATTCCCTGTTATCCGGAGTTGGTAGAATAAAGATAAATCTCTTACCTTTTTGTTAAATTGATCCTCAAGAATCAGCTTCTCCGAATCCAACTCCATACACACCAAGGTGTTCAATTGTTCCTCAGTCGCTACATCCCCCGATGATTTTAATGCTGCTTTCAGTTTGCTCCCGTTAATTGTCTGTAACAAAATAAAACCCGAACTTGAACAGACTGAATTTTATACTCGAATACATACATATTTTACGCCAATATTTACTTTCAATTTCTCCAATTCTTTCTGCAATCTGTTTACTTTATTGTACATGTGTAAGACAAACAAGTCAAAGGCATTTTCGTCAATGGCCAATTTCTTTTTTTGAATATTGATATCTGGGAATAATATCTGAAGTTCTTCGTTGAAATTTTCCCGAGCCTCTTTAACCTGTTTCCAGTAACGCTCAGCCATATTTCCACTTTCTACTTCCAATTCGTATTTTTTCTTTGCTACATCCACATCGTCTAAAATTTTTTTAATGTTTCTTCGAGCAGCTGTTTTCATATGCGACGGCGCCTCAAATTTAGGATCATCCATTAAATCATACATCTTCCTGAGCGAATTTAATGCTACATTGGCATGCTCTTCTGCCTCTTTAATAGCTTCCTTTCTCTTTTCTGTTGCATCTTTTAATCTAGAATTAGAAATAGTTTATTACAATCAAATGCTTTGAACCAAAAACAGTTCAACAAAAACAAAGAAAAATTATAAAGCAATATGTACTAAAAGAAATACCTATTCCAGACTGTGCTACCAACAGTAACATTAGCACTCTCCACAACTTTTATTACATCTTGATTATAATCTTGAATAGCACACGCTGCTTTCTGGTAAGCTGCGATAGCTTTGGACGCAGTTTCACCACATGATGTTTCTAGTTCGACCAAATTTTTTGGCATTAATTCCTTAGGTACATCTTTAGCTGGTGGTGAAGGTTTTTCGGCCACTGAAAGTATAATGTGTAAAATTTACTGTTATATAAATATGTAAAGGTTAGTACATAAAATTACAGGCTTAGAAGGATTTTCTAATGTAAAATGCGAATTCTTAGGCTCCATTTAGAATTTTTTTACAAAGTAACTACACACCTTACTTCGTTAGCATTTTTTACATGTATACACTCACACTTCTCCTTTAATTCGTACACTAGAATATCCTACTTTATATTTAGACCTCTTACACTTAGAAACCAACCAATTTCGATTTCTTCGCCTTTCTCTTTGCTTACTCGTATTTCAGTATAAGGATCATTAATAGGTGGCTCCTTCTTATCAACGAGTGGTACAAAAGCTGGCTTTGGTGCTGTAGTACATACATGTTATTATCAAGCGTTAGTAAACAAAATAATTACTGTTTTAAATAAAACAATTTTTTTATATAATACAACTTTATGTTTAGTGACTTTAGTAAAAAAGAAAGGAAGGAAATGGATTTAGGAATTAATAATGGGGCTCACGCATATAATCTTCTGAATTCACACAATTTAATTTTTTCTGACCTGATTCTTCTTGCGACTTTTCTCCAAAAAGAGCACTTATTAATCTAAAAGAAAATCCATAAATTAAAAAAATGAAATAGTTTTTATTACTATTTGACTGAAAATCAAAATATTATGACAGTCAGATTTACGTTTGTTGCAGTGTTTCGAAGCATGTACGTATGAATTCAAAATAAGTTGATTTCTCCTGAAAGATGATCTGAATTGCTTTGTCCGTACCAGGTATCCAACCTTCGAGAGTAGCACGTACTTCTGGATCATGTTTTGCATAATACAATACACCTGATGCGCCTATTGCCACAGTAGCCAGAGTTATTAATGTTGTTGTTGAGCCTCTACTTCTGTCACTTTAATAATAAGTATTGTAAATCACATTAAATATATTTAACAGATATTTAAATACAATAATACTTTATTGAATCAATATAAATAAGACAATTTATTAACTTAGACTATGTAGATTATAATAATTTACATATTTACATTATATTTTACTGTATTTGTATTTTTAAAATAGAAATAATTGTTAAACAAAATGTAAATTAATTAAAATATAAATAATGTGTAAAATTGAAATAAACCAAGTATAATTATAGTTATATAGTATGCATGCAATTTTGTTACATAACATGATATAATAATGCTCTATGAATACCTTTTCGATGACTTAGTTGAATATCTATGACCAGGTATTTTAGACATAAACTTGACATCCTTGAAAAACCTAAAATAATGAGATTTGTTGTTCAATGGTACCTACAAATATATCTTTATCTTTATTACTTAATATAGTACTTACAATATTTTACTTAAAATTGGTCAATCGAATATACATGAATTCATTCTTAATCATATTATTTATTTAAAGATATATGTCATACAATTGTTAAAAATAATAATTACTTTGTAATAACTTTACAGTAATGCAAATAAAAAAATTTCTGTAAATTCGGTAAGACTTACAAATGCATTGATAAACTATTTATAATAAACATAACCTAACCTAAATGAAAATGAAAGATAAACTCTAGATTTAAATAGTAAATTTTATTTTACAGAACCTGCTAGCCAAGATCACAGTAATAACAATTAAAGGCTTTTTTCATGACCAATTCAAATGATGACAAGTTTGACAATTGTAGAAATGCGTTAGCAAACAATCAGAAAATTCATGTCCTTACCTCCATTCCGAGTCGTATTTAACTCGTGCACGTGTCTCATAACACCTAGTTGTCAAATACAGTCTGGAAGATCCATGCTTTTTGATCTGAAAAAGCAACGGTCGCGATGAGATCGTCTGGAATTATATAAGCTGTTAAATTTAAGCCATCTTGTCACACGAGGCGGGCAACCTTGGTCTTGTTTGCAGGAATATTCACTGACAACTTATGAAAACAGTGTCATTATGACATGATTATGATTTCTTTTATAAATCACGAGTTATGTTTCATTACAATAACAGCAAATAATAACGAAATATCAAATATTATTATAGGTAATGTCGCGACAGTAACATCTTTCAGCACATAGTAAATGACAATTTCTCCTGCAATTTCTTTATATTTTTAATTAAATTCTCATAATACAAAACTATCAAACCCACAAGGATGCAATTTCTTATTTTTTACTTACTTTACGTACCCTATTTAGACCGTTGCACGGAAATTTTAATCCAATTCGGAACATCTTTCGGGTGGCCGGTCAGGCAGCCAAAGGAAAAAGGGAACGACGGTACAAAACAGCTGGTTACCGACGGAACTGTAGGAATAGAAGAATGTTGCGTATTGTTAGTAATGTTATTCGAGGTATGTAACAGACACTTTTTATGAATTTATTAGCACTATTATTTTTATATTGAACGGTAGTTCGGTGATTTCATTTTAAACTATTATGTACTCGAATTCAATTACCCATTATAAGATAATCTTTTCAAATTCATGCATTATAGGTTATATTCATTTAGACTGACGAACCATTTTAATTTTCTGACAGAAGGAACGCGGTGAAATCGTAAACATTGGCGCGTTAATTAAACTTACATAAAATTGTTAACGAAACAATTAATATCATGTTTTATAGTTTAAATTAATTTCGTTGTCAAATCTTATGGCTTGATTATTATTAATATAATGAACCTTTATTGTATATTTATATTTCAGGCATTACTTCACATGCCAATGTTGTCAATGCAACCAGATCCTTAATACCTAAACAATTTCCTATCACACAATGTATTCAACAGAAATTCTTTGGTGTATTCTCTCCTACAATTAACAGTTTCAATAGTGTTGTTAATATGAAGCAAAAACCAATATTTGGGTACGTACAACATATGACATGATGTATTACGTAACAATAAACTAATATGAAATGTTATGAATAATAATAATTCAAATTTATAGTCAATCACGCATTAATAGTGTTACACCAACAATCTTAGTACCTACAATAACTCCTGTAAGAACAGTTATAAAATACTCTTTGAGGAAAGGTAAAAGGAAAACTGTGAAAGCTGTGTTCAATAGATTTTATAGATTAAATTGGTAAGATTTTAATATGATATTTATTATTGTATTTGCTATTTAGCACATTATATAATGTATTTTATTAAATTATAGGGGAATATGGATTAGAACTCGAGCTGGACGTCATAGTATGCTATGGAAAAAATCTTTGAAGAAAAGACGTGAACTGAGACAACATGTTTTTTGCAATGCATCCCAGTCCACTTTATTGGACAAAATGGTAACAATGTATTGGAAAAGACCGCACTATTATGTAGATGATCCTTATAATCCATACCATACACGTGAAGAGTTCTCTATAACAAGAAGAAAACCAAAAGAATACTAAAAAAATACAGTATATACAAACTTCATTGAAAAATTTAATTGATTAAAAAAATATAAGTATTCCAAATAAAAATATTAGAAATAATAATAAAAGTATACAAAAATCTATTAGTAATATTATGACACCTTGTTAATTCACCGTGTATTGACTGAAAATCAAATCGATTACCAAGTACACTTTCGAAGCTGCATTATTTTTTGTCGCGATCACGTGGTCTCCCCTACTACCACTCAACAACGTTAGAGTGGCGCAATGTGTTCAGTTGTAGTTCATCTTTCGTGTTGAGTACTCTATCTTTTTTGTTTGCCGGCAACATTCTTATTCTTTTTTCTTCCATTGAAGTTGTTCACAACATTACTTTCCTATCAAGTCAACAGTCGTTTTATCGACGAAAAAAATGCCTTATCGTTGTAAATTGCGATTGCTTAGTAGAACTTGTTTCGCCTTTAGAAACTCGTGTGCCGAGAAAACCAACACGCATTTCGCTACGAGCACACCCGGCAGAAATTTCTCTACTAGTGGCGCAGTCGACATGAGGTGAGTCAAATTTAGTCGAAAATTTAATTCCATAGTATCAAAAAATTCATTAATATGATTAAATATTGCATTTTAAGTAGTCTTGTAAGATGATCGAATTTCGCGCGGCATTTTTGATTGGCCTATTCTGGTGCACAGCCTTTATATGATATTTTGTTTACTATATCACATCTCAGAAAAATTGATTTGCCTGTTAAAAGTGGTTCGTGGTGTTAATACACACGATTATATGTTTGCTTCTTCCGTCACAGTCTCGTGATGTAAATGGGAACATGGTGTGCTTTGATTCAACGACGTGTTTGAGAGGCACAAGTGTACGAAATATAAAAATGAAAGTATACCAAATTTGCACGATCTAAATGCTTTAGACATTGTCTAAAGTGAAATAGAATATCAAAGAGGAAGAGTAGTGACATATAAAAGAGGGATTGACAAGATTAATTGAAAATGCATTTTTATGTTTTAATGAACGCCTTGGTATCGATTTCTAAATCAATTTAGGCTATTTATTAAATAATTGCTTGAAGTTGATTCATTGAGTAGTACGATAATTTCGTGTCAATATTGATCAATGATTAATTCTATTCAAACATTCTAATACATTCGATTAAATGATTATTATGTCATCAACGGTGAACAAATCCGAATTTATGTGCTTGTAAAGCACAGTTCGTACTGAAGGTAGCTGCATGCAAATACGCCGGAAGAAGGGTTAACATAAATGTGGTATTATTTTTTAAGGAAAGTTGGAATGGTAATAATATAGAATGGTTAGCATAACTAAATGATACATACCGACTGAATAGTCTAAAATTATTTTCAATAATACTGTCATATCTTGCATTTTTTATGCATTCATATATATTTAGGATATTTAACTCGTTTAAAATTTTTGTTCAATTTTCACTTGAATAATATACACAATTCTCTTAGTATTATGTAAATTCACGAAACAAAATGTAGTTTTAAGTGTAGTAGTCAGGTATAAATTGATCATGTTCATATTGCTAAATAGAATAATTCTTTTGTCAGGCACTATTAAGACTTTCACTTATTCTGTAAATTAACATAATTATAAAACAATAGAAATATATTTCTGTGAATCACTTTAGAGATATTTTCTATATTCTTCACATGATTTTGCACGAATACTTTTACTTATGGGATTTTTCTATTGGTTGGTAGCAATCTTATATAAACTCTCGCTGAATGCAATATAGATGGCAGCAGGGTCACCAATAAATTTGTCCAGTCGTGTCCGAGAATAATTTAAGCGTTGAAGCTTATATTTTGTCTTGATCATTTTACAATTTTCAAATCTATATTCTAGTTAACCAATCAGGTAGGTTTTTTTAAACATTTTGAAAATTTATCGCTCCAATTCGTAACCTAGGGATTAACTTGTTGACTGAATCTAATGGCGTTAAATTATTACTGTTTTAATTATATTTACGTATATTCAACAGTGAATCATGTGCATAATTAATTGCAAATGTATGCAAGAAATATTCTTACATTCGGCATTAACTTTTATAACATTATTATCGTTACTTTACACGATAATATTTTTTATTTTACAAACGATCATTATCTCAGATACTTGTTTACTCTTTCATTATATGTTTATCGTTTGTTTTCGACCCAAATTTTAGAATACTAGAAAATAAAAATATTCGCATATATATATGTCGCTGATGCCGTATCCTTATCACGTACCACTTGCACATTTCTACATGCATTATCATTAGAATACAAGTAAACGAAAATGTCAGTAACATTTATCTCCTTTATTTCCCAGAATTCCTTGCCTCGTCCACCTGTTTCCATTACACGTAAGAATCGACGAAAACACGAAGGACATCGATTAAGATACAAACTGCTACACTGAATTCGTAAAAGCTCCCCCATAGACACGCCCTTTATCGATTGAGCAGTATCGATCGGTGATATTTTTCGAGCAATAGCGTGCCACCCGTGTGCACGCATTTGGTATAATAACGACGAACCTTGAGAGATCTCTTCGTCTTATTTGGCCGAGGTAAGTGCATACGAGAGTTGAATTCGCCTTTACTTTCACGGAACCTGTTCAACTCTGTGAGTGGCGTCACACTGTGAATAACAATGTCAGAATGACGAATAACAATGTTATCGCGGTTATAAAAATCGAAGACGAAAAATATTATTTTCATTATGTACTTCAAAATTGATTGGATGAGATTGTAAAATTGATAACTCACTGAGTTATAAGGTGATTAATATGTAACGGAATTTATAAACCATTCGCCGGAAGTGGAATTAAATACTTACATTCTTCGTTTGTTTCAGGAGAAGAAAGTTGAGATATTTTTTGGAATTTATGACTTGGAAGATTAGTTAATTTGTTATTATTCATGGAACTCATGAGTCACTTATAATAATTTTTTTTTCCTCTTTTGTTTGATAACTTCGTTTAAGTTTGTAACAATGACAAAAAGTTTTTCAGTAACTTTTATACTGTAGTCAAAGTTAGGGTGTTGGAAATGCAATTAAAGAGCCGAAAGATTGATTAATTTGTTATCGTTATTTATGTGATTCATAATTATCGTATAATTTTTTCATTATTGATAACTGTATCTAAATGCATAACATAAGTCTTTCAATTAGTAACTTTTACACAATAGTGAAAGCTAAAATGTTATTGGACTTTAAAACTTGGAATATTGATCAATTTGTTATCATTATTTATGAGATTCATAATTCATGTACAATAACTTTTTCTTTGTTCGATAATATATTATCTCGATCTATGGTAATAACAAAATGCTATTTTGTTCACAACTTTTACGTGTACTGACGGTTTCTCTTCCAAAGAGAAACGCGTTTAACCAGAAGCTTATTTACTTCACATCAGTTAGAGAATCGAGATAACTCGACATTCTAATAATGAATGGGTTTATTGTCATAATCTCTAAGTGTAATTTCCGACAATTCACTATTTTAAGATAACTTATCAATTTAATTGATATTTTCCTTTGATTAATTTCCTGAAATTAATCGATTCGTCAATTTCAAATTCTCTTTGTACATGTTATAAAATATTGCTATAATCACGAATTCACATTGCGAAATCCGAGGAAAAAATATTTCCATATTTAGAAACACTCCAGAAAAAGAAAAGACTAATGATATTTTTATCATAAGAGATTAGTAAATCAATGTATCGTGTCTTGTAAACAATTATTGCTATTTACACTTAAGTACATCTATCATATAAGTAGATTTTACACAGGCAGGTTTACAATTGTAATAAATTTGTTATTCGCGTAATTTACAAGATCTTCAACAAGTGAATCTACGATTTACGTAGATTAAATTTACCATTTTCACAAACTAGGATTTATGTTAGTTGATCCTTCAAATAGGTGCATTATTTGGTTAATCCGTTATATAGATCAATTCATTGGCTTTTTAAATTCATTGTCCGATTAATTTTTATTTAATTTAATTCTTTTAGGTTCGTTCAATTCACCAACAAAAATGGCGGACCACAGCATTTGGGCGTACAACTTGTTCAGGGTGGTGACATAATTGCCGTTTCTGCAGTGGATTCACGGATCCCGAACACGTTGAAGAAATTCCTAGAGGGTGGTGACGACCTGTTGAAAAAGGCTAAAAGGTAGGTGTGTCTGCGCGATTCGTACTAGCATGGGGTCCAATGTGACGATTTAGAGTTACCAAAAGAACTCGTTATCACGAGTTATCGTGCCAGTGTGTCATTGATTAGCACGCGCGAATGGTGTAAATATATAGACGTAAAAATAGAGATATCTGGTTGCGAAACACAATAATGAACAGAACTTTCAGAAGAAGCGTAGCTTGCCTGAGAAGAGGATTATTAATAACAATTACAATTTTTGAGAGATTGGGAACATTTTATCTGTATTTGGGGGTCAATATTATCAGTATAATAAATAGGGGAGAGTAAATGGGAAAAAGTAATAATTTGAGACTGCAAACTATTAGTAAATGTTAGTCAAGAAAATTCTGGTAATTCTAGTAATTTCCAAAATATCCAGAATAATTATCACATTACAAAAATTTTGTTTACTAGAAGAAACAATCTGCGTTAATAACCTGATATGCAAATTAGATATCATGGAAGAAAGTAAACAGAGTGCTTCCAACTGCTTTTTAGTTCCCTAGTAAAATATTAATAGTATAAATAGAGTTATAGCGATTTCAATAGTTAAAGCTGAAAACTCTAAATATGGTACCCTGTTAGATCTTATAGATCACTATTTTGTTCCCAGGGAAGACGAAGTGAGCCTGTTGACCATGGCAGAGAGGTTCGTGCCATTGAAAGAATTCAGTGTGAATAATTTTCTCTGTGCACCTTTTAATCCGTCCAAATGAAGCTTATCCAAAATACCATTAATCCATTGTGCCTGTTTCTTTCTCTGTGTACATGTAAACGTTTCTGTAATTGGTACACAATGCACATACTATACTTATTTTTTCTTTTATATTTTGCATATTATGGTAGAAATATTATCGATACTTGGTATAAATAGGGTTCCTCCTATATGTACACCATGGACGATATTCCGTAGCGAAAGTAATAGTTTCTCACCGTGTTATCGTTTATTCTATCGGACATGTTTTATTTCAGTGAAAGAACGTGCAAGCCGGACGACAGGCGATTAGAAAGCTTGTTCTGTCGAGATCGCTAATTGGCTGACTCAGGAGGACCGATTCTTGCTACCGATCACATTCTTCTTATTTACAAACGGTTACCGTTTGAATAAACTTGTTAGAAAGACGAGTAACGTCAAAGAATGGCTGCAATGATGGTGGCATAAGAATGAAATGTAAAAGTGGACTTCTATAATGTTTCAGTACTTAGAAATCATTTCTCAAGATAGAGTAAACGAAAATTTATATGTAGGAGATCTTTCTTATCTTGTATAATACTCATTGTTGAAGAATTTTTGTTTGATGATCTTCTGTCTCGGGACAATCTCTGTTTATGAGACAAGATTTTTAATTTAGTTTTATTTTTCGTTGGACTTTCTAATGAAATATAGTTGTTAAGTAATTAAAACATTAGAAATTGTTAGGAGTAAGCACTTCAATTGTTGTACTATATTAAGCATCGACACGTTTTAAAATGATAATCTATGACTAATTGTTTTAGAAGCTATAAGGAGCTACATTGAAAACAAAATATTCACGATAAGGCTTGACATTTGTGTATCATTTATGTCTCGATTTGCCATGTTAATACGTCGTGTTTTACACCTGGCCGTCTTTGTTCAGCTTCTTTACACTCGAGATAAAAATCAGCTGTATTAGAGCAATAAATATTTTCATGCAGTTCTGAATTAAGGAATTAGGTAACATCGATTAATTCAACTGAAGATTAATTAACATAATGATGAACTAGGCAAAACATGCCAGATCACAAATGACACTTCACATTTCATAACTCATTGCATGGTGTTTGCTATTGGAAACCCTGAATGATGAAAAATTTCCCATAAACAACGGCGCCCTAGTCAATTATTTTCTTCGTCAAATTGTCGACTATAGTGACCTTGATTTTGCGCCATTCAACATACTTGCCAAACACAATTGGTGCTATTAATTTAAGCTCTCGTTTGTTTGTGTGCCAGTTGGCGAACTTGCAAGCTCCGGGATTAACATTTTCCATGGGAGCCGAATGTTTTTGAATGAAACTGCGTGTACAACAATCGCGTCAATGAGTTTCAATTAATTGTATTTCGAATCAGAACGCGTTTCTTACTGTTTATATTTTTCCTTCGTTTTTCCGATTTTTTAATGTCACAGAAAATGTATAAAATGAATAGTAGTCAGGTAACGATTGATCACGCGTGTTATTACTTTTAGTTATGCAATTGCATAGTCGCGTTCGTAACATTCTTCGTAACACAATAGCCCATAATCAGTCAATGTAAAGTGATTTTTACGATGTAGATAATTCCGCTACGAAAACCTCATAAAAACTGAAATATACGTTATCGGTTATCGATACCTTGAGTTCAAATCGCCAACCGGTATCTGTGTTTTTATCACTGCGATTACTGACTCGTGAAACTAGTCCACGAAAGAGAAACTATGTAATTCAATAATTCTCTGTACTCGTATTGTGCAGGTGGATGGCAAAGTTCTTTAAACTAACCCGTTGTTATCGTTATCTGCTGAGTTGTTTAATATTTTTCTTATCATAGTCATCGCAGGTGCAAAAAGATACAGTATTCAAAACAATGTAACATTTATAATTTATTATACAGAGGCAGAACTGGGCAGAATGTTTGGTCAAACAGCAAATAGCAAATTTCAATAACTTATTTCAATAGTTGAACATTGAATGCATTTCAGGCCTCTAAAAACAGGTGAAATTAATAGTAAATTTGATTTGATAATTTATAAATTTGAATATATTTAGTGAATGAATTTATTAAACAGTCTAAATAATAAATTCATTGGAAAGGGGAGGATTGTTTAGACATAGCCCAGTTCTGTCATAAAGAAGAATATGTTCTAAAATATTCCTGTTCTTGATATTAGTTCAAAAATTGCAGAATAGTTGCACAAGGACGCAGCGTAATACCAGAAGCGGATGTGAACTTTTTGGCGCCGGTTACTCGGATGGACAAGTTGGCTTGCGTTGGTCTGAATTATATTGGCCACTGTAAGGAGCAAGGAGTGTCGCCGCCGGAGTCGCCAGTTATCTTCAGCAAATTCCCTAGCAATATCATCGGGCCGCGTGACAACATCATACTTCCATCGATCTCGGAAGTGAGTTCAAAAACGATGGCGCCGAGAAGAGGCTGGCATTACCGAATTCTATTTCTCATTGCGTAGCCATGACCATTTCTATATTTATTCGAGACGATTATGTAACAAGATAAGCGGACTTTCGAACTAATTATAGAACGATACACGTGAACAGAGAAAGAACATGTTTTTCAATCGATCGGACAGATCCGAATTTTCCATTTGCTTTACCGATCGAATTAGGAAGATTTGATACTCAGAAAGTAGTTAGTATACACGAAAGTTAATGTAAACTACAATTTAAATTGACAATGTTCAAATTTAATTTGTGAAAGTTTCGATATAGTTTTGATATAGTTAGCTGGTAGCACGTGATTGCATAATCGGTAAACGATCAGGAAATAATCAACAGTCCCATTATACGAGAGATACCGGTTCTTATCTAATCGCCATAGTTAATTAATTAAGAATTCCGAAGCGTTAGTAGCTAAAGTACCTGACACGGTATTATCAAATATTCATTAGCTGCTTCTCTTGCGATTATTTTGATAGAAAGTCGATTGGGAAGCTGAGCTCGCGATAGTGATCGGCAAAAGGTGCAAGGCGTTGAACAACGACGAGGGAGAAGACTGTATTTTCGGTTATACAGTGGCGCAGGATATCACAGCGCGTGACTGGCAAAAATCGAAGAGAAATGGTGGTCAGTTTCTACTGGGAAAAAGCATGGACACATTCTGTCCATTAGGACCAGCCGTTGTTATCAAGGAAGCCATTTGTGATATCAACAATCTTCCCGTGAAGTCGTGGGTGAATGGAAACATCAAACAAGAAGGCAACACCAGCGAGTTGATCTTTAAGCCTCATGAAATTGTCGCCTACATTTCACAGTATGTCTTGATTAAAATTTATGCTTGTATGTTATTGAAACGTTATTTATATTTTATTGTTCAAGTCTTTACTTAACTTCGTTGTCCTATTGAATGTCTGCGTTCTTTTTCTTTTCAATCTATTCCAATGATTACGTAACTGTGGCTTATAGGTTTATGACTCTATTACCGGGAGACGTAATTCTAACAGGCACGCCAGCTGGCGTAGGATTTACTCGTAAACCACCCGAATACTTACAGGTATTATGCTCGAGAATTTCTTTGTAATAGTTAGTATTAATAAGTTTGTATTAATAAGTTTATAATTTATGTTTATTGTTCTTCTTTTTTAGCGTGGAGACGTGTTAGAGACGGAAATAGAAGGTCTGGGTCGCTTGAGAAACAAGGTTCTCTGATCTGGCGAGTAGGATATGCTCGTAGAAAACGTATGGAAACAATTCGTACCGAGGAAAGCTAAACATACGTTACAGGAACGAAACCAACATGGCAACATTATCGTTAAGTTATGATCTGTTCTAAATCGGTTCAACGCACGATAACACGAAGAGAACGGTACGATTCGAGACACAAAAAACGCAGCAAGTCAATTTAAAAATTGATAACAGTAATGAAAACAAAAGAATGTTCGAACCAAAGACATCGAACATTTATTAAGTAAACTAGAGCCTAACATATGCATATTCATGTCTCGACAACGCTACACTTATCACCATACATCACACAGATTTTACGTATTTGTACGATTAAAGCGACACTGTTTCTAAAAATATGAGCTCGCCTGACTAAGTGTTTTTTTTTTATCAACTGACTGTTTTTTATTGGTCTCTGTGGCCTTATATTAAAATATTTTTTGACGAATGCGCTTGAGTCGTTATCTTGGACTTGATCTTTTTCTGCAATTGTTATTTGTGATGTTATCGCCGGACAATAACCTGTAGCGATCTGCATTATCTACCTCGATGGATAATCAAAGGATTTCTCCATCGGTATGTTACCATATGAAACTGAACGACAGTAGGTAAAACAGATTCCATCTCCAAACTTACCTGATCTTAATTCCCCGACTTTCCTGCAGGTAGCACCAGTAGTTCCATTCGAAGCTCAAACTTGACCAATCCATCCTCATCAACCCTTAATACGCTTCAAACTCTTTTACACTCAAACCAGGTAACAACTCTCGTATATTACCTTCCAGTATTAAATTCTCGAAGTTCGTAACCATCAAGCGAAGAACTACGAGAACTAATTCACCTCGGTCTCTCCAATCTGACACCCACGTAAGACCAACCCAAGCATAACCTCCAAACATCATTCACGACAAGATCATTCCAATCACCCCTTCTTCGTGAACCACTCATTCAAAAACGAGCAACGAATGACTAGAAGGTCTGCTCATGAGGTGATCCAAGAACCCAGTGCATCCATAGCCCAAAGACGAACCCCACAAAGAGAGGACGAGTCTCGTGCATGGGACTTCATCAAAACGCAGTCAGCGGAGCGCACAGCTCGGCGCCCCCGGTTGTCGTCGACAATAGGTCGCTCAATGCTACCTAATTCGCAACAATGGCCCCCGCGGCCATATATTAATGGTCCGTGCCCGTATATATTCGCCGGCTGCCATTATATTGTCCTCGAGGAGCATGCGCGCGCGCTCCTGCTTGCGCATGTGTGAGTGAGTGAGAGCGTGCGGCACGCACACTCCTCCGGTTCCGCTTTGTCAGCTCGGAAGCAGAACGGGCCGGACATGTACGGGACCGGGGGCAGATGCGACTCAATTTCGTGGATGACAAATCGGGCCCGTAACGTTGTCAGGCGACGATTAAAGGGCGCGGCCCCAGCACGATTTAATGGCACCCGTGATTTCGATTAGCCCAACGAATAGACCGGTTTGCGAGTACTATCATCGATAGGACTCGGATTCTTCTGGGTATACGATCGTTTTTGGAATAGGGGTCCAGGAATACAAGAATAAGAGTATGAAGATTATGAATATTTTACAATAGTTAAAGGAAAATATTTGAAATTAGAATCTTCTTTGCTAGAAAATTTTTTTGTCGAAAATCTTTTTAATGTGCTGGTTCCAAAATTAATTCTTTCGAGAATTAATGCGATTTTTAATTTCTGTATTTAGGTATTTTTTAAATGGAATCTTTTAGAGTTGGAAGTCTCGAAATCGAATATCAAATTTGTGACCTAATATTTTCGTAAACTGAATTCTCGAATTTACATAATTTTCGAGGTTAGAATTTGTCTATGACAACTAATTCCCTAGATTATATTCCCAAACTTATATTACTATATAATCCCTTAACATCTATCTTCCTGTAACATAATATGGGGTGTCCCATAATTCACGCAAGATTTGAATTTTGCGCCATTCGTGTGGTAAAGTATTGCCAACGATGAAAATAGAGAGCGTGACAGCTGACAGTTCAGGGTTATTAAAAATGGAGCAATACACGAAAGAATAACGCGTTTTCATTGTTGACCAATATTTACAATTTTCAATTAAAATTAATTATTTCTTGCGTGAATTTTGAAACACCCAGTATAAGCTCACATAACCTAAATTTGATATATCATTATTCCAAATAAACTTTTGTATTAAAAGTGATCCAAACTAACCTCTCATCCAAAATTTTCGAGGTTGGAATATTTTTCTGACAACTAATTCCCCAGATTAAATTTCCAAACTTATAATATTACCATAAAATTCCCAAACATCTATTTGCCTATATATAGTATAATCTCACATAACCTAAATTCGTTATATCATTATTCCAAACTCAAACTTTTGTATTAAAAGTGATCAAAACTAACCTCTCGCCCAAAATTTTCGAGGTTGGAATTTTTCTATGGCAACTAATTCCCCAGATTATATTCCCAAACTTATAATACCATAAAATTCCCAAACATCTACTTATTTGCCCATATATAGTATAATCTTACATAACCTAAATTCGATACATGTATCATTATTCGAAATTCAAACTTTCTTATTAAAAGTAATCGAAATTGATTTCCCGAGATCTCCTTGATTTGGTGTAAATAAAATTCGCAGCATCTTCTCCCAAAATGTCCGCCATTTTCAGAAGCGGATTTGGCAAAGGGAAAAATCGGAAGGTCAGGCAGCGACGCGATCCAGCGGTTTAATAAAGAGCAACCAGGCGGCTCGTTGACGGAAGCTAATTCCATCGACGTGTAATTCGATTTCGAGACGGGGCGAGCCGCGCATTAATAAGCGAGCGGACACCGCGGGTGATCGTCCCGCGGCAGCGTGTGTGCGCGCGTACCCGCGTCCCGGGGAAATTAATGAATTTCGAATCGAACCACCGCGAGTAGTTAATTTTCGTGGAAGCCGCCGCGGAAGATGGCTACCTGCTTCGAGAACACGCTCGTTTAATGCCACTGGGTACTAATGGCGTTTCGATTGGCCTGCGCGCATTGGCGTAGCCACTCTGTCTCTTATTTATCGCCATAGTTACCGAATTTCTATTTTCTCTATTTCTCATTTAATCTACCTTTTCTTTCCCACCTTTCTTTTAGACTTTCGTTCCCAAAATATCGAAAATTTTGTAAATTTTGTTCTGCTATGGGGTTGAATATGTTTGCTCCAATTATTGGCTTTTGATATAATATATACAGTGTATGAATTTTTTAAAATGGAAATAATTGAAATTGTCAATGGGGTTTCTAAATATTTGGAGTTAGATTATGATTTAGAATTGTCTATTATATTATTTAGGGTTGTATTAGATTATATTAATTCGAACAATATTTGGAAATATTTATTTGTTACAATCTATAGTAATTATATATTTTAGGAACACCTAGGTATTTCTTAGGTTACACATAAAGGGATGCTATAGGGATATTGGATTATTAATTAATTATAGTAATTGACATTTCTATGAGGATTTCTTTTTAAGAAATTAGAAGATCACTACATCTCAATTAGATGATGAATTTCTATTTATTTATTTATTTATTTTTCTTTCTCGAAAATTTTTTAATTTTGTTCTATTATGAGGATGAATAAGGATTGCCCTAATTATAGTCTTGTGATATAATATATACAGAGTATGAATTTTTTAAGATGGAAATAATTGAAACTTGTCAATAGGGTTTCAGATTATAAAGAATCTAAATATTAGGAGTTAGATTATAATTTAGAATTGCATGTTATTATTTATCATTGTATTAAATCACATTAATTAGAACAATAACTATATATCATATTTTGAGAACTCCTGAGTATTTTTATGTTACATATAAAAGGATGGTATATGAATATTCCATTATTATTGGATTATTGATTAATTACAATAATAATTGACATCACCATATCTCTCTTAAGCGATGCACCATAATTTCTCTTCAATATTCTCCAAGCTACACGAACCAACATAAAATTCCTCGAGGACCGTAGAAAATATATCTACCTTGAAATCAAATTAATTACAATAATGATTGACATTACCACATCTCTGGGTATTTTTATGTTACACATAAAAGGATAGTATAGCAATATTCGATTATTATTGGATTATTAATTGACCACAATAATAATTGGCATCACCATATCTCTCTTAAGTGATGCACCATAATTTCTCTTCGATAATCAAGATAAAGTTCCTTAAATACCATAGAAAATATATCTACCCAAAAATCAACTTAAACTCGTACTCACAATCAGTTTCGACACACCATTGTTTCGCTTCAGACGTCTCTCAATTTTCCAAAACTCGAGCAAGAAGCCACCATCGATTACACACCAGCTCGAATCAAAATTCGAAGTCCATCCGATGACTAGAATTCACCCCCATGACGGATACACCCCATCATACGCACCATCGTCCAAGATCCGATCTGAGTTGCAAGGTAAGGTTCGCAGAGTCCCTAAAATCTGCACGGTTAACCTCGCTGATTTTACTGGGATTCCACGTGGACGAGGTCGTAACCAGCAGATAATCTCATTACAGAGAAAGGACCGGCTACCCTGACCGGTTAATAGAGCCGAGGCTGGCAAAAGGGAAAGGAACGTGACACGGTTTCACGAAGCGCCATAAACATCGAGCGTGAAAATTGTTGGACGTGGAAGAGGGACAAGGGATGTTGGAGGATCGAGAACAATGGGGGAAAATAAGTAAGTGGCCGGTCAGGGACCTCCTGGTGGCCGGTGTTCCGCGCTGCTCCATACGACAATGCTGCGAGTCAATGGTGCCCTGTTATTCGGGACATTATGGGGCATCGTTTGTCAAGTATCGCCACGGGAAACCAGCACGTCCGTATGTTCCTCATAGTTCCGTGGAAATGTCCGATCTCTGGTCGGTTTTTCCAGGCGAGCTGCTTTTAAAGAATGCACTTCGTTCGGCTCCTGCCTCGGGAACGGCTCAGAGATCGGTGTTTGCTTTGGAAATTAGGTAAAGAGGAACTTGTCGCGTGTTATTTGCCTGTTTTTCGGTATTTTTCGCGAGGAAAATGATTAAAAAATTTTGGTGGATTTTTGAACTACTTATTGGTAGCTTTAGAAGTGTTTGTTAGGTTTTAGGTTAGGTTAGATTACCGTTAAATATTGATAATTGTTTTGTAAAACAAGTAA